GGGGAAAAATCACGGGGCCTAGCCTAGTTTAAATAAATCCACTAGTATTGCAGTCGATTACAAATGAAGCCCTTCCTTGGGAGAAGGCCTTAGCTTGATGCACATTTTATAGAGTACATTACATGATATAAAGAATCGCTATTGACATGTTTGTTTGGTCGGGAGGACCGTAGTAGTCGGCGGGCGACGGAGGTCGGAGGGCTTGTAGTCGGTGGGCGACGTAAATCAGGAGGACCGTAGTCGGCTGGCGACGGAGGTCGGAAAGACTATAGTCGGACGACGAAGATCAGAAGGACAGCGTCAGGTAGAAGTCCAACAATGGAAAGAAATCCATCTTCGCGTAGATGTCCAGCGAAGTCCGATAACTCGTAGAAGTTCGGCGTCGGGTAGAAACTTGGCGAAGAGTGAAGGCCCGACGTCGGGTAGAAGCCTGACGTCGGGTAGAAGTCCGACGTCTGTTGGTGGCAGAGGAGAACTCCGGCTTCACTTGGGCGGAGTTTCGGCGTCAGAAGGAAACTTTGTTGCAAATTGGGAAGAATTTCAGCATCACGTGGAAGTTGGGCAGAATTCCTGCGTTCTCCCGAATATCACGCAGAATCCCGGCGTGTTCGGGAGGCAGGACGAACTCTGGCGGTGGTCGAGGAGGAGCTTCTTCCTTCTCCTCCTTCTTCTCTTCTTCTTCTCTCTCTCTTCCCTTTTTCCCTCTTGTGAAGAATGAGGGATCTATTTATAGATTTTTTGGAGTGGCCTAGTCCGTAAATAGGTGTGAGATCAGGGCAAATAGGGAGTGGCCGAATGGATGGCTGATATTGAATCCGTCGATCGTACACCGTTCGTTGGACATTTGAAGGCCTTAATGATGTCAGAATTTGGCGATCTTGGGCTCGTTGGATTCGTCTTGTCGATCTGTTCGATTCGAGTATAAGCTCGTTAAAATCGTAGACCATTTGGGCTCGTATTAGGTTGAATTTGGTGTCGTTGGGTTCTTACTTCCGAGACGCTCAGTTTGACTGTAAGCTCGCTGAAATCGAAGTTCGGGTGCTCCTAGAATTAATTTTCGAAGTTTCCAACTAGCTTTTTACCTCGAAATTCGTGCCCCATCAAGATAAATTCGTGATGATGTATCACAAACTTAATTTATTCTTTATGATGGAAATATTTATCATTAGTTGTTGCATTGCCCGGCCTAACTCCTCACAACATCTGACAACAAGGGGCATGCCGACAACCTCAATTAAAGGTTGCTATTGAAAACATTGGAGGCCTATTTTGTCTATGCATGAATCAAGCTTGAATAAACAAAGGTTGTGGGGTTCTAAAATTTCAATTATTTAAATTTTTTGTTCATATGTATTATGTGGAGTTTGACATATATATATATATTGTAGAAATCATATAGTTATTCACATTTATATTTTGTAGGTAGCACTTCTCATAATAAATGGAATAATATAAAATAATAATAAATAAATTAAAAGGACAATTTTTAATATTAGAATAGTTGAGTAGAATTTATTTTTGTTTTTGCTTTCATTATGCCGATTGGGTTACACTGACCATAATAGTATTGAAGATTATAAGGATTCATTAGGGATGATCGCAACTTGTTTCTAAAATATTTTATGAAATTACTGTTAATAAAATTGAATTATTGGATATCATAATTAGTTTTTTATCTATATGAATTTGGAAAATAATTTTGTTATGTCTCACACTTTGATGGTGCTAGAAAAGTTAGATTGTAATGCATTTTATTGAATCGAATGAATATGTGATACAAGAGTGATTATATATAAATAGAGTGATAAATTAAAAAAATCTTAATAAAAGAAACCATCTTTATTATGAGAGAATATATTCTTTGGAGAATGAGCAACTTTAATGCCCAATAAATAATATATAGAGGATCCAAATCTTTTATTTCAAAGCTAGAAGGTCAGTACCATCATCACCATTGCTAGTAATAATCATGTCATCAATGTATAATGAAGTGGAATTCATTTAAAACAAGTGCATTTTAAGAAAAATAAGTAGTCATAGTGACTAGGATAAAAACCAATTGAGATAAGTACAATATAGAACTTCTTAAACCAAGCATGAAGTGAGTATTTAAGGCAACATGATACTTTTTAAAGTTTGGAATGTTAGTAAGCTTATAAGAAATGCTAGGAGGAGGTGTCACAACCCAATCCAATATGACCCACAAAAATGACAAGTCATGTCATGTTGAATGACAGGCCAAGCCGATGATCAAAGTTTTGGGGATTTTTCATATATATATATATATATACTACAAAGCTTCTAATTAACTTTTAATATGTAAAAAAATAAACTCATCATACATTTTAATTTTTTGTATTCATCATCAAAGTGTTTATACAATAAGTATATGCTATATTGCATGACTAAAAATTAAAATAAATAAAATAAATAAATAAATAGTCATGACTATATAAAAATTAGAAAATACCTATACTAATTCAAACATATCAGAATATGAGACTACATGTAATCAATCGATTCTTTCCCCTTCCCCTGACCTAAAATAGAATGAGTAGTAAGTGTGAGTCAACACAACTTAGTATGTTGCACACACCAATATAAATTTATAAATATTTCATTTATTATGCATTTAGCTGAGTTTTTAAAGTAGTTAGTAATAATTCACCGTGTTGAACATAATAATACTTGCAATTATAAAAAAATAAAATAACAATGTAAGGAAAGTAAATAAATAAGTAATACATGTTAGAATAGAAAAATAATAGATTTAACATATATTAGAATAGAAAAATAATATATTTATTTTAGGCCCTTATAGCTCACATCAAAAATAAATATCAGAGTTCAAACCCTTTTGACTCGATGTGCTATTATATCCAAAAAAAGGCCCTTATGACTCTCAAGTCTTAGCATATATCATATATTCAAAAATTTAGATTTTTATGTGTATCCCACACAATATAACTTCTTTCGACATTAGAGCTTCACAAAATCATATATTTCAATCAGATAAACATATATATCATTACATTTCAGCAAAAGAAATATAAATATATAATAAAATGTTTTATCAATAGGCAACTAATTCATGTACTGAACAAAATTTTACAGTTTCAGAATTTCATTAGATTATTAGGGATTATTCAGAACATTGTTTTAAAGATTTAAATATACTATAAAATTATTTTCTAGGATCAAAATTATTTTCTAAATTGAAAAAAGTAACATTATTTTCAAATTATTTGATGAATTTTTTTGCACAAAAATATCTAAATATTCAAAATAATCATATCTACAATATATATAACTCTACACGATGAAAATTTAGTGGGTGTAAGGTTATCCTCATTTTTAAGCTAGAAAATTATAAGATTAATCAGAAAAATCGCATAATTTCATATTTTTTTAACATTGAGATAGGTAGAATGCAATCTATCTTGATTCAAATAACTTTTAGAATTGAGTCAAAAGCAAAAATATGGATTAGAGTCTCCAAAAATTCAGCATCTCTCTAAAATACCTCTCTCTCTACATAGCGATATATATTGATGTTTTGTTTAATAGAATTTTTTGGTGGTAGTTATATTGATAAAAGAAATTAGATAGCCTTGATTGTGTAAATTAAAATATAAAATAATAATTCTTCCTAATTAGATTTTGGGGCATCTCAGCCATGTCGCTCAAACTAAATGGAATAGTGGATTTAAAATATATTTAAGTGCATATAATGGCCTAGAGCTGCATCGCTAGTTCAAATTTCAAAAGCCTGAAAACACATTATCGAGGCGCCATTGTTGAGCATGTTGGTGCCAGTCAACATGACACTTAGACGCCAGAGGACTCAACATTATGGCGCTCCATAAGAAAAAATCCAGATTTTTTCAAAATACATTTAAACCCCTGGAACCCACTCTAAAACATGTGCAAACCTTTTTCATACACACATATCATTCTCAAACACATACAAAAAAGTTCAGAACACAAAAGTTCAAATATTTACCTTGGGTCAGAATTTGTTAAGCCAAATCTTGAACGTAGAGGTGTCAAAAGTAGGGAGTTGTCAATGAGACTCATTAGTTAAGGAATCAATGGATGCTAAGACAGTCGAATGGGCCATTTTATGTAGTGCAACTTAAAGTTGGCCAACTTGGAGTGGAGTTAGCCATTGATTGGAGAGCTAACATACAATGCCAAACATGCTAATTGAAAAACAAGACATTGATTGTCAAGTTTTTTATGGAGTTACCCAACTAGGACATTGGAGAAGTTAGTGTGGAATCTGTTAAATGCTGCTTTTAGGAGGATGACTAATATAAACTGAGCTAATTGGAAGGCTGGGACATTGACAAGAACCACAAACATCGATTGGTGTGCCAACATCAGCTTAAGATGTCGACCTAGACTTATGGCGACAGCTAGAAGCTTAGGTTGCTAGTCATAAGATGATTTGCATATATCATGATGGACAACAATCAAATTTTGTCAAAGGCCCTTGTAGAGACCTTGTTATGGAGGAAAGCACTTAAATTAGTCATGATTTAGCAAATCATTGAGAATGAAAATTGTTATATATACTTTATAGTGATTTTTAAAATTTAATTGATATTATTATAAATAAAAATAATTTAATGTTACTTCAATAAAATAAATATATCTTATCATAAATTAGCTCTAACTCAATTAAAATAACTTCTTAGATAATCTTATAATTTTATTGAAAAAAAATAGATAAGTATATTCTAATCAAAATTTAATAATCCCATAAATTCAATAAATTTATTTTTATTAAAATAAATAAATAATTAAAATTGATATTATACATTTATACTTATTTTAAATTGATTTAAATAATTTTGAGGCAATCATCACAAATTTCTAATTAGTATACCCTAAAATTTTCCTTCTTGCGCGCCGGAATGTGACCGCTTTGGGTCTTCCCTGTGGGTCCCATCGCCGGTGAATCTGTGGCCAATAAACACTCCGTTGGATAACGAGCTCGCGGCATTCCACAGAATAATCGTGACACAGAGAGCAGCAGAGCTCAGCATTCAAATATCCTCCTTTCCGGCGAGAGCGAGAACACAAACACCTTGTAGGCCATTCATGGAGCTGTGCATGAACGGCCGAGTGGTCGTCTCGGCGGCGGCCCCGCAGACGCACGCCGGCGCCGGGAGGTTCGCCGATGGAGAGGCAATGGGGCAGCGGCTTGACTTGTCGAGCTTCCGCCGTACGACTGAGCCGATTTACCAGCGGCGGAAGCCATCTCTACGGATGTCACTCACCACCACCGACTTTGTAGCTGAGTGCAAGGTATTTCCAATCGGCGTTAACCTTCCCACTGTTGCTTATCTCAAGAACCAGTTTTATTCATTCAGCTTTTCCTTGCGCAATCAGTTGCTAGTTTTCTCATTAGTTTAGGCACCATTGTTTGATTGGAATAAAGAACTAATAAGAAGTCGGGTTTTAATTAGCGTGTAAAGGTATGTCAGATGTTCTTGAGCGTGAAAAAGATAGATAATGCTTTAAATGGGAAGCCATGCACTTAATCTCGTTGATGGAGTGGCATATTTATAAGGCCTCGACACCAAACTGGTTTAGTTATGCATAAGCAAGTAATAAGATTGGATTTTGACGAGATTCGTAACCGGTATTAACCTTGAAATTACAACGAACATATTAGCAATTTGATCTATGACCGTTAAGCGGTCGTTGATGGAGTGTTGCGGCGAGATTTGCGATGGCATAGCTGGTATTCTGGTAATCACTTCATAGATATCAGTTCTTTGGTATGCTAATGTCTTTCAATATTAAATTCTCGAATAAAGTTTCAATCTTGTTTTGAGGTTATCTAACTGCCAGAAATTTGAGCAGTGCATAAATTTTAAGAAATCTAAAAACCTAATGAAATGAAAAAAAAAAAGGAATGTCATCACTACCAATGATTGTTTTAATGTACATCCCTTCATTTAAGTAATTTAACATTTAACCAATACTCCTAATTTAAAATTTACGTTAACATTAATGCCTTGATAACATTAAACTATACTAATTTTCATGATAAAATATCTTTAGCAAAATGTAGTTAAGACAAAAGTTATCAAACTGATCTTCGTTTGAATTAGCATCACATTACCCTTTAATTCAAAATCTTCTTGCTTGCCATGCCCATCCCCTTCTTAAGTAGATGTTATTCCCAATTTTCAAAGGTGTGGTTTGAATGTTGGTTATTTGATATTCTGAGCAGTAGATAAGCTTAATTTCTTCCTCGTTGACTTCTCTTTCATACAATGAAATAATAAGTCTGTTTGCTTACTTCTACCATGAGTAATAGGATGCTTAGTGAATTTATTTGAGAGACACTATCAACTTTGTTCTTGTAGTAAATGATTAGATATTGTATTTGATTATGCTTCATATGTGTTGAGGCGGAGGGGGTTAAATTACTCTATTTAAGAGCACGGAAGGGAAAAATAGGATCAACATTCCCAACATAAAACATCAACATTAAACCTTTATCCTACTACATGGGGTCAGCTAAATAAATCATTTTTCTCAATTGTGCCATGTTAGGAGTCAAAGTTCTTATTTAAATCTAATAAACAAAAGTCATTTTTAATATTTTCTAACAAAGTCTTTTTAAGTCTTCCTCTACCTTCTTAACATAAGCTGAATCTAAAGCATCTACTCCCTTAACCGGGTCATCAAATGCTCGATGCTTTATGTGACTAAACTATTTAAGACGACTTTCTCTAATCTTATTTGTCATTCGAGCTACTCCAACCTTTTCTCCTATATACTCGTTTTGCATTCTGTTTCTAAGTATAAAGCAATTCATCCACTTGAGCATCATTATCTCTACAACACTTAACTTAATTTTATGCTTATCTTTTAATGGCCAATATTCGGTGCCACAAAACATTGCAAGTCTCATCACCATCCTATAAAATTTCCCATTAAGTTGGAGGGGTAATTTTCTATCACACAACAAGCCCAATGCATTCCTCCATTTCAACCATCCAACTTGAATTATACTATTAATATCCTCATTTATTTTACCATCACTTTGAACGATAGACCCAAAATATCTAAAACATGCACTCTTTTTAATGACTTGATCGCCCAAAGTCACAAACCTACAATTATATATGTTATTATTTATTACTAAAATTATATTCAATGTATTCAGTTTTAGTTCTATTCAAACGAAAACCTTTAGATTTTAATGTTGACCTCTATAATTCAAGTTTTCCTTCTACTCCTCTAGTCTTATCTACAAAAACAATATCATTAGCAAAAAACATACACGAAGGTGCATCATCTTGCAAATGTCTAGTTGGAACATCCATGGCTAAAGAAAAAATATATGGGCTTAAAGTTGATCCTTAATGTAATCCAATTGAAATAGGAAAATACTTGGTCAAACCATCTTGTTCTAAGTGTTTGAACACAAGTAATAGCTCTTGCATATATAACCTTAATGACTTGAATATAAATATTATTGACTATTTTCTTTTCTAGAACTCTTCAAAGCACTGTTTACCTCTAACCATCTTGCAACTACTAGCTCCTACAAGCCACGTTCTCTCGTAACTTCCCCACGTAACTCCTTTCACAATATTAAAACTCTTACGAACTACTCTTTTGGATCTATTGCATCTCCTGCACTTTGACTCAATCAAACGCTCTGCCTCTCATGTTTGATCGATCTCGCAAGCAATAGCCGAAGCTTGATTACGTTCTTGTCTCCTGCGTCCGAACCTGAAGCCCTAACCGACTGCTGCACGCAAAGCCCCCAGCCTCCGTGTGTGACTTTGACTCCTACCATTTGCCGGCCTGACTCCTACCCAACATCCAGCCACCACACGTGGCTTTGCGTATTCCACCTCCAGTTGCATGATCCCGCCGAACTTCCTTTAGTAGCCTGTATTTTGCCCCAACCAAATATTTTTTTTAAAGAGTCATTATACGCCAAATTTGAAAATCGTCTTCACCATAAGATGTATATTATTGTGTTTTAATTATAATAAATTTTTTCGTAATTTTTGGGCACTTGTGTGAATCCTTAAGATATTGATACATGTCGATAAAAGTGAGGATTTTGGGACCGTCATGTGTTCGTTTTGCAAATTGATTTCGCAAATATTTTCTATATAAAGTAAACTATTTTATGGATATTTTTCTTGATTTCTTGAAGCCCCAAAAGAATTTATATGAATTTTATATTGACAATGGATTAAATTATATAATTAAATAATATTTAATATTATTATTTTAATCCTAAATATCTAAATCCACCTACAGATCTCTTCATGTGACATTTTTTTCTTCCTATTCGTTTAACAAAGAGGATTTAGGGAATTTAAGAGAGAAAAGAGAGTGGAGAGATTAAAGGATGAATTGAGACATTCACTTGTACCGCTGAGGATTCTTGAGTTTTTTGAGCTGGTTGAGAGAACGAGACTGGTGGAGAATGATTTTGGCTATTCCATTGTTCAGATAAGATATGAGCAAAAAGAGACCGGAAGATGATATAACTAGGAGAAAGAGAAGTGAAAAGAGAGGTAGATTTCGGACAACACGAGAGGATCTACATTTGAGTTCATTGTGGGTGTACTAGAGTGTGTCCGATGTGGTAAGAGACATAGTGGACCGTGTTTTCTGTTGATTGGATAGTGTTTTAGATATGGGCAGTGAGGACACCGAAATGTTGATTGTCCACTACATCGACAGGGGACACGATCTTGATTTAGAGGGGAGCAAGCTATGCAAGGCTTTAGACAGAGGACCATGGGATCTAGAGAATACAATGAAGGTTTTGTGAGCAGGATAGATGAAATAAGGGTATTTGAAAGTCAAAGAGGACCTACACAGTCTGCTACACCGACACTGCCCCCTGTACGACCTAGAGTTTACAGTTTGATCCAAAAAGAGGATAGGAATGCGTCTGGAGAATCCATTGGTAAAATTTTTAATCCTTGAATTTATTGATTAATAATTTGCATGGTATATTGTGCTTGAATGATATATGGGAGTATGCTTATTTTGAATGAACTTCTGATTGATCGCATGCATTGTTATGGAGATTTTGAACTTGATTTATTGGTTTTGAATCGTATTGATTTGTTTTGATGGATTTACGAATTGAATTTATCTTTATTGATCTGTTTTGTATGTGGAAATGTCGATGACGACATTTTTCTAAGGTGGGGATATTATAATAACCAATATTTTGACTCAAATAAATAAATTTTTTAAGAGTCATTATAAGCCAAATTTTAAAACTGTCTTCCCTATAAGATACATATTTTTGTGTTTTAATTATAATAATTTTTAATTTTTTGGTATTGGTTTAAATCCTTAAGAAATGGACACTTACCGGTACAAGTGATGATTTTAGGACTGTCATGTATCTATTTTGCAAACTGATTTTACAAGTATTTTTTTGAAATAAAATAAGCTATTTTATAGATATTTTTCTTAAATTTTATAAGCCACAAAAATTTGTATAATTTTATATTGACAATAGAGTAAATTATATAATTAAATATTATTTTTTACTCATTACTATTAACCTAACAAGGATCAGCTCATCCAGCCAATCCTAAGTTCGGGAAAGTGATATTTGACCTGTTCTTAGAAATCAGAGATTTACGCCTGTCTTATCCTGGTCAGAAGGAAGTTTGAAATGATATCCACGTGGCATAACCCCCTACTATGCATGCTCCATTTTAGGATTAGACAAGATTCCTCTTTTATTTTGTTGAGCAAAGTTGACGTTTTTAACTATTCTACTTTTTTTAAGTTAATATAGAGTAATATACTTGAACCATTTATAACAGATCTTTAAATTTTCCGCATTAACTTTTCAACATGTAGTTTCTTTATCCGTCTTCCCAATTTTGCATATTAGCTTTGCAACATACCGTTTCTTCGCATTCTTTATTTTAATTTCCGCTAGTTTCCTGCATTTTTTGTGCTTGATAATACCGAAAACATTTTTGGTGCTTGATAATACTGAAACCTGGGTTAAGAATATGATAAAGCTATGCTTAATTTAGCATTGGAAATGGACATGCTTCAGGCTTCGTTTCGGACGGCTTTTATACTGCTTCATAAAATAATTTTTTAGTTCAAAAATTAAAATTTTTATACTAAAAAGTTGCTTTATAAAATAGAAAACTAGTCATCCCAAACGAAACCTCAGTTTCCAGCTGGAGGTGCTTGAACGAAAATTTTTAGTACTTGCTGCTTAACTCCTTAACTACCATAACAAGTTCTTTTAATTTTTATTTTTTATTTTTTATTTTGGGGTCAAAGGTAGGAGCACGCAGACATTTTATTCTCATTCTAACCATGAAGAAACATAGAGATCTAAAAAAATTACGATACAAATAGACATTTGCGTGTACATCATAGGTTAATGCAGTTTTAGTGCAGTTGCGGGATTTGGAGTTGGAGAGAAGAGATCCTCGGACAGTTGTGGCAGTCATTTTAGGAGGTGGAGCAGGAACTCGTCTTTTCCCTCTAACAAGGCAAAGAGCTAAACCTGCGGTATGTGCTTTTATTTTCATCAAATTTGTGCATCTTCTCTTTTGAAAACAAATCTATTTGTATTAAATGCTAAAATACCCTGTTTTTTTTTTTGCCAACAATCTCTTTTAACTAAAATTCCGAGTGTGGTAAAATATTTTCCATACCAAAAATGGGAAATCATTTATTGTCATGGATGAGACATCAAACTCCATTATTTTCTCCTCTTCGAGCATGTTCAAATTGTTAATCATTTTCTTTATGATGTAACCTACACACGCACACACAAGAAGATGCTTTCATTTGAGTAAGGAGTAGAACTGGTTTTCTCTTGGATATTTAGCATGAGGAACTGTTATTTATGTTAGGGTGATATTTTCCAACAGTACCTTACTGTTTAAACTTTTCCTTCTGCAGTTAATTTTTGAAAATGATGGGGTTTTGGGACTCTTATAATTTTAGCAACCTTTTTTTTTTAATTGTTCTTGCTTTGTTTGTGCAATTATCAAATTTGTAAGACACCTCTATTCATAGGGTTGCTCCTGCTTCCAGGTTTCTTTTGATATATTCGTCATTTGAGAAAACAGGAGAATATTATACTTTCGAGCCTAAGGCCTCATTTGAGGCGGCTTAATTTTACCTTTTCCGTTTCAAAACGGCATTGTTTTTTTTTTGCTCTTTGAATGTGACACATACTTTTTTGAAAACTCCATTTCTTTAATGTTTTGAGAAGTGTTATGGTAGTAGCTTCTCCGTTTAAAACTTCCATTTCTTTCATTGACGTTTTTGAAACAGAAAAGATAAAGAAACCAAACGAAGCCTATGTTTCAACATGTTGTCATACCTGTAAACTTTTACTCTAGCTCGAATCTCATTATGAATGACTAGTACTTCAGAATGGATTTTTACTTGGTTTATTCATCATCCTCCTAGTTTCAATTAGTCATTTTCATCCATCTTGTTATATTTCTTATCTATTCTCGAAATCAAATAAATTGTATCATGAGTTAATGCCAAGCTGTAATTTTATCATTTTCTTACATTTGAATAATAATAGTTTACTATTTTATATGAATGTAGCTAAAATATATCTTCTATTGTTGTTGACACTAATGCATCTTTATTCCTCCTTCGTAGGTGTCCATAGGAGGGGCATATCGATTGATCGATATTCCAATGAGCAATTGCATTAATAGTAGAATCAACAAGGTGTATATTCTCACCCAGTTCAACTCTGCTTCACTTAACAGACATCTTTCGAGGGCGTACAATTTCAGCAATGGCATAAGCTTTGGGGATGGTTTTGTTGAGGTACACATTTATCTATTCAATGTTTAGAAGTTGTTATATAAGAATTAGCATTTTGATTTATGTACATGTCATCATTCTGTCCTACTTTGCATAATGTTGAGGTGTTGTTTTTTATTATTAAGCTTTATTTGGTATTTTGTCTTCGTCTATGTTGCTGCGTAATGCTGGTTAGCATAGTTATGTTAATACTATTGTATGAAGTGGTGTAAGAGTTAACTGTTTGATAAAAAGATAGTGTGGCGCTGATTGAATGACTGAAATGAATATTTACTATGAAGTTTGTATATAAAACTATGATATGATTTTATGTAAGTTTTAATATATATAGCATGAGGCGTAAGCCTCATGCCAGTGAGGCGAGGCAGGCAGGCCTCAAGGCGGGCCTCAACCAAGTTGAGGCGCAAGCCTCGTAAAAAAAACTCGAGGCGTATTTTATTGGAATTGCGCAAAGGCGAGCCTCATATTGCGCAATTTTAAACCATGATACATACCACTATATACTACTCTATTTACATATCTAACACCTAACATTTTAATATTACATACATACCACCCATAGTTCACTTTCATATCAAATATAGGTGATAGGAATGAAATATATGGGTGGTGGAAATGAAATATAAGTGGCATATTTGATATTAAAATAATATAAGGTGGTATATATGTAATATTAAAGTTTTAGGTGTCAGATATGTAAATAGAGTAGTATAAAGTGGTATGTACATAAATCCTCCAAATAAGAAAGCTTAAATCCATAAAAATACTTTTCTTAAAAGCTACCTAAATTATCATTCTAAGAAAGTTGTTTTTCCGTTTTCATCTATGATGCACGGACACGGACACGACACGACACGGACACGGGACACGTTTTTTTTTTTAAATATACACTGCACGCCTCTTTGAGGAGAAGTGTCGGTGCATCATAGGTTTTCATGCAATGCAACACCTTAAAGTTAACTTTTTTGGTTCAAGGAAGTAGAGCATGCATCAGAAATTATGCCAAATGGAGCCTTAATTGTAAGGAAACCACTTTTGAGTCCTTCTTTACACTTTTTGTAAAGATTTATAAAGTGAGGTCCATAATTTGCAACCAATTAATCCGCTATATGTTTTTAGCTTGAGTATTCTAATCCTGAATTCATAGACAACTTATTATTAACAGGTTTTTCCCTTCTGAGAACCTCATAAATATATGTACATTGAATTTGGGTAGGGATTCACACGCATAGAAGGCATAGAAGTACAAAGAAAGCAAAAAGTTTGACGTGGCTGTTGCTCCTAGCTAGCTTCTACAGTTCTACTAAAGGTTTATTCGCCAAAATTTTACCGGTATATATAATTTGCAATTCTCCCAGATTTACATGGTTTTGTTACTGAACTGAAGTCATCTATTGTCACATACGACTGGCAGAATATAGCTTTGTATCCTGGTGGTTAAGTAGTGGTATACTATACCATATGTCTACTATTCAAGGCTTGACAGTTTTGAAAGAAGTTGATAAACCCAACTTTACTTAATAAAGGAGGTGACCCGCTTATAGTTAAAGAAAGGAAGATAGCTTTGTAGTCCTTCTTCTACCTTTTTAGTATTATTTGAGTAGTTATTTTTACGAAGAGCTGTCATATTTGATTTTGAATGGTGTCCATGAAGTGCTTTTATGGTATCTAATCGTGCATCAATACAAATTTGCTGTCAATTTAGACCACCTCTAATTTAGCTATTGCAGATTTCAGGCTATTAACTTAGCCATTTTGTAAAAATTGGAATTAAAGATGCTAGGATTTTATAGAAACTAAATCACTTACACTTCGTTAGAACGAAATCTTATGTAGTTGATTATTGCTCATGTACCTTCATGTATATAATTTCTCTTTCATATGTTATATTCATCATCCATCTTATTGTCCCAGGTACTAGCGGCCACTCAAACTTCTGGCGAGGCAGGAAAGAGATGGTTTCAAGGTACTGCTGATGCTGTTCGTCAATTTCATTGGTTATTTGAGGTACTTTTGACTTTTGCACTTCCACTTTTAGAATTCATAGAACTTTGACACTATTTTCGCATTTGTTATGTCAAAAACTTATAATTTGTAATGTTTTTTTTTTCATGAGAAATTATTGTCAAACTTAGAGAATGATCAATCGTCTTAACCTTATTCCCCAACTAAACTAGCTTTATGCACCTTTCTCCATTCCTTCGTATTAAGGGAAGATGTTAATTTAACTTTGTGCGAGTCTTCATTCATTGTGATAAAAAATAACCCTCAAACTTCAAGTGAAAATTTTATAAGATTGTGGTGAGACCTACAAGGCTTGATGGCGTAGAATATTGGCCATTGAAAGAGAAACATAAAATTAAGTGTTGCAAAGATGAGGATGCTCAGGTGGATAAGTGGCTTTACACTTAGAGACAAAATACGAAAAGAGAATATATGTGAAAAGGTTGGATCTCCAGTGGCAAATAAGATTAGAGAGAGTTGTCTAAGATGATTTGGCCTTCTGATGTCACTGTTAGGACTTAGGATAGTATATGTATTAGATCAAGCTCATATTCAGAAGTGTAGAGGTAAACCTAAAAAGATTTGGTTAGAAAGTATTAAAAATGACATTTTTTATAATTAGATTTAAATGAGAATTGACTCTTATTAGAACTCAATGGAGAAAAATGATTCATGTAGTCTATAACACCCTAAAATCAAATTGAAAGAATTATTTATTTTATCTTATTAATTAATCAACCATAACTTCTATAAATCATCATAATAATAAATCTATATATGGTGAAAACAAAAATAGGTTAAATGTTTCTTACAGCGAGACGAGCAAATTTCTCAACTTGCTCGACTGATGAAAATTGCTACGCGAACTCCAAATCCTAGGTTTCCTTTCCTTTGCTCTCTTTTTTTCTCTTAATTCCCTCACCTAAGTCTCTGTTAGCCGAAAATGAATAGGGAAAGAAATGGATTTAAAAAGCTTTTAACTGTTAGTGACTTAGGATTTTTTTTTATTAAAATAATAATATAATAATAATATATAATTATATAATATAATCAATTTTAAGTATAAAAATTATATCAATTCTTTTGGGACTTATATATATATATATAAACTTATTTTATTTGAAAAAATACTGGTGAAATCAGTTTGGTAAACGGATACCTGACTGTCCCAAAATCTTCATTTGTATCGACATGTGTCAATTTCTTAAGGATTTATAATAGTGCCCAAAAATTATGAAAAAATTAGCATAATTAAAACATAATAATATCTATCTTATGGCGAAGACAGTTTTCAAATTTGACTTAAAATGACTCCTATAAATTTATTTATTTGGATCAAAATACAAGCTATTACATAGTCGACTCGACCCCATATAGTGAGATAAATGCCCATATAGTGAGATAAATGCTTGTTGTTGTTGTTGTTGCATGTCTTCATCCATAATTTCTTTCCAAGCTAATTTTTGTCTATCTTTTTCTTCTTTCTAACCCTTTTATGTTATTCTATCTATCTACCAAATTCGTGCATCTCCTGCCAATCTATAATATCTTCCTTTATCACTTAGGGGATTTCCTCCTCTACACCAACTGTTTTTTTGGTTAGATCCATAAGTGTATTAGTAGGATTTCCAGCAAAGAATTCATGTTTCATTTAGTAAGTTGAGAATATATTTCCTTGGACATAAATGTATGCCCATTCTTGATTGGGCTACTTCTATGCCAAGGAGGTATTTGAGATTACCCAAGTTTTAATTTCAAATTCTATCCCAGGTTTTTAAGGTTATGTATCTCTTTCTCATTGTTTCTCATAAGCACAATGTCATCCATATAGCAATGAGAATGGTAAACTTTCCTTTAGAAGAGATTGAGAGAAACATAGTTTGGTCTATTTGGCATTAAGTGAACCCATTGTTTTTTAAGCGTTTGCAAATCTGTAAAACAATACAAATGGAGATTGCTTAAGGTCATATAGGGATTTTCGAAGCCCATACTTTATTTGCGTTGTTCTGAATTGTAGCATATAGAGTATTATGCATATATACTTCCTCTTCCATGTCATCATCAAGGAATGCATTCTTCATGTAAAGTTAAATAAGTGGTCAATCAAGTTTTGCAGCTAAAGATAATAAGACCTTAATAGAATTGAGTGTAAAAACTAGATGAAATGGTTTTTTAGTCAATTCCATAAGATTGAGTGCACCTTTTTGCAACCAATTATGCTTTAATCTTCCATCTTTCCGTCTGCATTCATGCATTAATCCTTCCATCTTTCCATCTGCATTGTGTTTGATTGAAAAAGATTCATTTACAGCCAACAATATTTTTCCCTTGGGGAAATCCTCAACAACCCAAATTTTGTTTCTTTTAAAGCCTTAACTTATTCCAAAACAACGACCTTTTGCACGGGTTGATTTAGTATTTAAAAACAAGTTCATAGTTGATCCAGGGAGACATCATTGGGAAGCTACAAAATAGGTGCTAAGGCACTTAAATACAACTATGACCTTAGGATTGAAGTATAAAAATTTGATTCTATAGATAAAGTGATTATAGGGTATGTAGATTCATATTTTACAGGATGTTTTGATACGCAATATCACTTACATTTTTTGTGTTTAAGATATTTGAAAGCATTGTTAATTGGAAGGCTAATTTGTAGCCAGTTATAGCCTTGCCTACAACTGAAGTAGATACATTGCTATGAAGACCTAAAAGAAGTTTTAAGACTAAAAGGGTTAATTTCTGATTTTTTTTAAGCCAGTGCTCACTCATGTGTCTATATTTTGTGATAATTAAAATGCAATATTTCTCTCCAAGAATTCCATCTATCATAAAAGAAAAAAACATGTAGATGTAAATTCCAATTCATTAAGGAGGCAGTTGTTAATGGGGCTATGGAAATTATAAAAATTCAAACCTATGATAATGCATCCTATTTGCAACAAAAGCATTGACTTCCTCAAAATTTCAATATTGCTTGGAATCATTGAGGATGAAGAGAGAAGCGTTAATGTTGGTTTCTTGGATCTTAACAAATTAAAGAATCAAGATGGAGGTTGTTATATTGGTTATTTAATTCCGGAGTGGAACCAGGAAGAGCTCTGTCCTTCATGAATATTTTTTTCTTAGAATAAGAATTTTAATTATTTTTCCCACCTTCAATAAATGTAGTTGCCTAAATTTAAGAAAGAAATTCCTTTTTCTCTTTCATATTTAAAATTATGCATTTCACAATTCCCTTTTTGCTCACCCTCAAAAAAGAAGTTGGTTTTGCCATTGTAATTAATTTCTTAATTAGTTTTCTTTGTAAATACTATTATTAATTTAGTAGTTTTGGGGTTATTTGTGTCATTTTCAACTTACACAATTATTTTAAGGTGTCTATAAATATACACTCGCCCCTTGTTGTAAATACATTCCAATTAGTATATTTTTTTCTTCTCTTCTTTTTTCCTTTTTTTTTTATTGGCTGTCAAGTTTTGGTCAAGAACCTTGTGCAGGAAGTTGGTTCCCGTTCTAGACTAAAGCCAAGGCTGTAGGATTATGATAGGAAACACTTGTAGATCTCAAGTATTTCCTATGAATCTTCGGAAAACAGTAAGAAATCTCCACAAAAATCCACACAAAATTACGAAACAATACATAATTTGTATTATTTGATGAAAGGGAAACTGAAAATACCAAGATACAATAGATCCTCTATTTTAGAGGATCTTTCTCTCTCAAATCTCTAGACGCCACTAGAGCCCAAAGGAAATCTAAACCTAAGAGATATCAAATTTCAGCCAATTTCAAGATGCCCTAACCCTAGGAAAATAAATTATTTAATGCATACAATCCAAAATGAAATATCTAAACAGTCCATACATTCAAATTTCCCTCCTAACTCCTCCAAAAATCCTTCCTAAATTGCTCCGTTGGATTTGGCGGCTCGGTCGCTTGTACAGGAAGAGGCGAAACTCTTCCGCTGTTCCGCCTGAGTCAGTCCCGTGTGAACCGGCTGGACCGGTCTAACAGATTCCAGCTTTAGAAACTGCGAAGAACTGTGGACTGGAGTTGCTCTATCCCTCTTGTAGTGGTCGCAAGTGTCAGGAAGGAGTCTGGTTGGTACCAAGGAGGAAGAAGAAAATAGTTCCGAAATTTCCTTCTTGTATCGGCCTGAAATCACACTACTCTAAAGCTCTTGTGTTCAACATCACCCTCCGGCTAGCTTCCATTTGTTCAATCGCACTTGTAAGCTTTGCTTGGCCCATTCTTGCCGTCTACATTCCTTCAGCACATTGGTTACTTTCTTGCTTTCTCAATCTCTTGCTTTTACATTCTCCATCTTCGCTGATTCTTGATTTAGTAATTGTAAAATATGTTGAACGCCTTAGATAAGGCGGTCAAAAGTAGTGGATTTAGCTTGATTGGCTTGACCAGTCCAAGTCGAACAGACCTTAACAAAAGGTTTGTTAAAGGAGCAAGAAGGAAGAGGGATAGACCAAAGATGACATGGAATAAATTCATGTAAAAAGTTTGCATAGAATGTGTTTAACATGTCATGTTGCACTCAGCTAGAATGGATAATGGATGAGGATCATAAACCCGAGCTCAAGTAGTTTGGATATAGCTAATGATGATGATCTATTTTGACAATAGGTGTATCCTATGTTCTCTTTTCCTTGTGAATTTTTGCAGAAAGTCCTCAGATTAGCAAAAAGTGCCTCAATTTCTTACTGGAAATTATATGAAAGTGAGAATAATGGACTGAAGCTTCATTTTTTGGTGTCATCTCATTCCATTAGCCTTTTGCCCGGAGGGCGATTTTATAGATAGTAAATACCCTCTATTCATTTCTTATAATAAGTACCTAAAGTCTGACATTTTATGGCATGCAGATTAGTTTGTGATGTATATTAAACACATTTTTAACTATTGGAATGCACTAATCTCATTTTCTTAACTTACCTCTATAGGATGCCAAAGGAAAGGAAATTGAGGATGTACTCATCCTCTCTGGTGATCATCTTTACCGTATGGACTACATGGACTTTGTTCAGGTGACAATGGGACAAATCTTTTCTTCTACTGGTTACTAATATCAGCACTTACATTTGCTTCGTGGACAGAGTCATAGACAAAGTGGTGCAGACATTACGATTTCTTGTGTGCCTATGGATGACAGGTAATGGACTTTGTACACTCTGCTTGATTCCGTATTCTTAATGTAGTTGAATGTTTGTTATTGATAAACTTAGTTAGAAAATATCATATAAGTATATTTTATGAGAAAAGATTGTATAGTTACTGGTTGCAATGCTTTCAGTCTTTGTGCTTCTCATTCCTTAAAAGTTGGTAATTTTAAATTATTTTTCATTAATTAATTTATGCACCAGTATGATGATGGTATGGTAGGTGCTTATAATAACTAATCATAGTTAACTTCAAACTATTGATTGTATAGGCCTTATTCAATTTTACCTACCAAATTAAATGTCTCCTTTGTTGGGTGTTGTCTCTAGCATCTAAGGTTGGCAATCACTTAAGGAGTAGTTTGTGCTGGTGTTCTACTAATTCTGCTACTAAAGTGGTTTGTTTAATGTGCTCGGAAGGAAAATGTATCTTGTTGAGAAAGGAAAATTGTTAACCAGCCAGTCTTACCTGGTCATCTTTGAAATGGATGGAATTAAATTTATATTTGCATTCCTATGTTAATCAGGATTTTACTTGTTTTTTTGGTGTCTTTGTTGACCTCTAACTGTCTACAACACCACCTCGCACACAATCTGCCCAAACGATGCTTTCAACCTCCTCATTTCCCACAGCTCAAAACTTCCTCACACGGTAGAAATCAGACACAAGCATTCGAATTCCTGAAGCCCTGTCTCCCTCTCCAGCCTTTGTTTGTTTATACATCGTAGCAAGAGCCGCTCCTGCTATGATCAACCCTCTGATCCTAAGCTAGTCTGACACCCTCCTTCATTCATCGACCAACCCTCTGATCCCGTGCCTGAGCCTGACGCCCTCCTTCACTTGCCGATCCAACCCTGTCGTCCGCATCAACGGCTAGCCCACCTCCATTCCTACGCATCCATACTTACGACTGTCACTCCTAGCCGCTCAATCCAACCCACACCAGACCCAATCGGCCTGCTCCCGCTTCTGCGTCACATGTGTGACCCCATCCGATCTCCTCTCCCTTCCTCTCTTTTGTTTATAATAATAATAATAATAAAGAAAGAAAGAGAAGACGTCACAATTGCATATTGGAGGATGAAGACTGATTCCATGATTGAATTCTTTCTCCCGAATTCCTCGGCCATCTATTTAATCCGGCCGAGCAGACCTAAAGGGCATGTGCCCTCCCCAACCTCCCCTAGTGGGAAGGGGGTGTCGAGAGACTACCAAAATTTTAGGGAAATGCCTAATTACCATAAATCTTCTTAATAGGCACCGCGATCGTCAATTGGAGGAGTCGAAGACTAATACTAGGGCCGATTTTTCCTCCGAAGCACTCTAAAGTATCCTCCCGCATGCATTTGCAATATGCACGGGGTTTCATTGTAGTAATATCATGCATATATATAACAATCATATAAATGCATCATGCGAAATACATGTGAAGATGTATACCCGCATTGGCCTCGGCAAGTGTGTCGTAGGTACACACGTGACGTCTAAGGATGTTGCGCGGGTTAAGAAATGAATATAGATACGAATCGGATCCCCAGTCAATAAATTGACAAAGTTGACAATACTTAAACAACCAAAATATAACAACCCATTAAAATCCCAATGATGGCCGTGTTGATAGAAAATCTCAACCGGAGGGGATCATAAATATTTTAAAATGTCTCCCAAATTCCCAAATGCCCATAAAAAATCAAAAATAAATACTACATGGTTTAAAATTGCGCAATATGAGGCTCGCCTTTGCGCAATTCCAATAAAAAACGCCTCGATGCTTACGCCTCGAGTTTTTTTTATGAGGCTTGCGCCTCAACTTGGTTGAGGCCCGCCTCGCCTCACTTGCATTAGGCTTACGCCTCACGCTATATATATTAAAACTTACATAAATCTTAAAGTAAATGCCCGACATTGGACTCTATAGGAGAGGAGGAAGGGGAGAGAGCAGTTCACCATAATGATGATTCAAATGAAGAACCCCTTAGTGGTGACAGTGCTGATGACTTATGAGTTATTATGTGATATGTCATTGCTATTTATTTTTGGAAATTGGAATTATATGTTACTGAAAAGAATACTGGGATTTGGGAAAGATAGAATTTTGAGTTGAACTATATTTCATGTTGTCTTATTATTAAGATATTTTGATTTCACTTCATATGTTATGTTTTTTTATGTTTTATATTATTCACTCATTAGTATATAAAAAATTTATCATTTTATGTTTACGCAATCTTTTCATGTTGCATTGAGGCTTACGCCTCGCCTCACGAATGAAAAATGCCTCAATACCCGAATACGCAATTTTAAACATTGAAATACTAGAACCTATGATATTTAAAATTAAAATCATTTACCAAATACTTAAAGCAAAAATACCCATCCATCCTTTGCAACAATTTGCCGATGTGGACAAATCTAAAAATTGCTTCAACTCATAAAGAGCTAATATCTAGTCAAGAATATTACTATGATTCATTCTCAATCTGTCTCTTGCCAGTAAAGATGTAGCATCTTTTCCTCTAACTGGTGGTTTTGCCGCAAATTGACATCACAGGTAAACGGTTATGACCAGGTCCCTCTGACCCGGTTATTTTGCTGCCAAATGGTACCACTAAATTATGGTCATGGTCAAAGCCCGTTTTTTCCCCAACAACATCAAATCATTAAGTAATTAATCGATAGGGCACAAAGTTCTTTGTCAGCTAAGGTGGATTCAAATTTGTTCTCTTTAACAAATACTCACCCCAGGTCTACAAGGTACCCTTCGACGAAGCAACCCATGGTTGGTGACAAGGATCCTTCTGTCAGGCTGTCGATTACCTCCTCTTACTAAGTAGACCAGGGACTACGATGGCCCGGGACGATGGAACCATGGGATCTTGATTGGGCTCATTATCATTCCCCCACCATCTACTTTAGATGCAAGGTGGTGAATTTCTGATTTTAAATATTAAAATTTCAAATACTTGAATCATGCTGCTACTATACTCTAGATACTTCGTATTTGTTTGACGATTAGCCTTAATAGAAAGTTCTCTCTCGTTATCGAGAGGGGTAATTAACTATAGAGGCTTGCACCAATAGGAAACCATAACTCAGATCGTAAAGTCCTTACAAAATGAGGACGAAATCTATCAGTAGTGTCTTATTCACAATCAAATCTGTCTTCTAAAATTTGCCTCAGAAATTACTCGTTAAAACTCTCATCGACTACTCAAAAAAGAAAGAAAGAAAGAGGAGTCCACGGAGATGCCGGGGCGCAAATTTTCGTAGCCCACATAATTAATTAAATTAAAGCAAAAAATTCAATTAATTAAACTAATTATTTAATGCAAATTAATTCAAAATTTAATAAAATGCATTAAAATAATAAGAGGACTATGTTCACACTAATCAACCTACGTATAATGCACACCAACTAAAACCCAAACTTCTAAAACTAAGAAAACTAAAGACAGAGAAACATAAAAAAATCAAGCAAACTAAACTGTCCTGGTAAGCTCTAGGCCCGTGCAAGCTCTTGCTCTGATGTAACATGATGTAAATCCAGGATTTGTATTTAGAAATTTAACAAAAGATTATCCAAGTATGATAATTGCAAATTAAAACTCGTTCCCAATTCAAGCTTTTCGGAAATCTCAATTGTTAACTACGGCTAGGCAAGCACTTACACGTAAATTAGCAAGGCCGAGAAAAATAACGTGAGTGATCAGGCGGTGTGTGTCACAAATGCCCTTGGGCTACAATAAGTGAAACATCCCTCATAGGGGTACAAACGGAAACATGAAATAACTAATAAAAGAAAAGAACTATGCATCAAAGATAAAGGCTCTGAATTAGGGCCGTCGATCGTCGTCCCCGACGATGGTACACATGGCGAAATCTGATGCCCTCATCATGCTCCTCGCAAACTGGCATATGTAAGCTCCAACTCCTACAATTGCTAACCACGAACACCTACAAGAAAGTAAACAATAGTCAATGTAAGTTGATAAACAAAATTGGTGCTGAAAGACGAGAAAATTGGTACTGAAAGAAAACTGGTGCTGGAAAGAAAAACTAGTGTTAAAACAAATAAGCAAAGCTACTATTGTAAACAAAACACTAGTACGGATGTCGACGTGGTGAGAAGCATAGAACTAAGTATATACTATTAAAGCCCTGCTAAACTAAATCCCCCCTAACCCCACTATACGGGCCACCTCTAATAGAGGCCGTAAGTCCCACTTTAATTAAGGTGTTAGGAAAACTTTCTCAGAACAAATAATACATCCTCGATAATCTTGACAACCTCTAATATAGGCCGTAAGACCTGTTGCAAGGGTTACTTTCAATGAAAGCAGTAAGACCCAACCTTTTGAACTATATGGGATACTTTCAATGTAAGCAGTAAGACCTAACCACCCTACATGCTGTTTTTAATAGAAGCAGTAAGACCCACTTCTCAAAACTTCTTGTACCTATGTGGACTACTTCTAAGTGAAGTCGTAAGACCGGCTATATGGGCTAATTCCAAGGAAAGCAGTAAATCCCGCTATACGGGCTACTTCTAATAAAAGCCATAAGCCTTGACCCCAAATCTAAATCAAACAACCGGGTAACTTCTAAATTTAGTCATAAATCCCAAACTAAATTTAATAATGAGTATTTTAACAGATGTAAACCCCAAACCGTGATAAAATTAAAATCACACCTATACACTTCAGTTTACTCGGGATCCCTGAGAGGGGGCAACCCATGGCTGCTAATTAGATTCTCTGAACACTACAATCAACGATTGTTAATGTTGGTAGACTGAAACCTACGGTATTCCCAGGATGAAGAAATCATGAGATTTTGATTGGGTCTACCTTCATCCCCCACAACCTAAATTTAAAATTGTTGCACGTCTAAACATTGATTCATCCATAATCGAGAGTTCTCTTCTACGCGTTAAGATGGGTAATTAACTATGAGGGATTTCCCTCATAGGAAGTGGAATCCCATAACTAAATAAACCCTGATGTCAATCATCGGGAGAAATCTGGTTAATTTAAATTGCAATCTACCTCAGAGAAGATGGGACCTTAAGCTTGAGAAAGCATGGCTCGTGCCATAGCGCCATGTTTTCCTGAGCAAGAACAACCTTTAACGCTAATTTTCTTTTAATCACAATTTGTAGAAAAAGCTACACAAAGTTCAGTTTATTTTTTACTTGTTTCCTTTTCTTCCAATGAAATTGATGTCGAACCGAGCAGCAGAGTCTTGAAGAAGAACTTGAAGGAAAAACTAGGAACTAGAATGCCAATAAAACAATAACAGTAGTATATTATCTTCTTCTTCCTACAGCTTAGTTTCTTTGATTATATATCCTTCCTATTCTTCACTACTATTTTAAGTATTAGCAACTAAAAGGAAACAGGAGAACGTTCATAACAGAAAGGTACGGAAATGGAGAGAAACAGAAAGCAACTAAGGTAATGGAATGTGTATTAGTGGTAGCGTGCTCTTGCGGAACAGGATAGTCCCCATCAGAAATGCTTGAATTCACTTGAAGTATACCGTGAATATGGAGGAGTTTGTGGTCTTCAATCGAAACAGCATACCTGCTTGAATGTTATTTCCCTTTTTCCTGAAACCTATTTTTTTGGAACTCAAAAATCAAGAACAGTTATGAAATGTAAGAACAGTCATTCATAGCCGGTTTGTTCCTTAATACTTTTTTTTTTTTGAAAAGATGCAAATTGCATTAAATAAAAAAAGAAAAAAATACAACCAACTAAGGGAAAAATCTATCACAGTCCTTCCTAATCATGTTAACAAAACTTGATTGAAGTTCACTATCTAAAAAAACATTAAAAAAAAATCACCTAACATGGCCATATGAGAACAGAAATCTGCCACCTTATTACAATCTTTAGGAATAAAATGAAAAATAACATTCTTAAAAACATCTAAGAAAGAAAGATCCACCCTTTGAGATATGTTATTCCTAACAGAAGGCTTCTTAACCGAGTTCTGAAGCAACTTAATGATATCTACATTATCCCTTTCAATAATTATTCCTCTATACTCCTTCATCCAATCTTGTAAAGAGTGTTTGAAGTCCATGATAGCTGACAATTCCAGAAAAGAAATGTTACAATGAATTATTCGCTTTCCGTATGCACAAAGAAACCTTCCTTTATAGCTCTCAGAACACCTGCAATCCCCGCCAAGTTGGAATGCAAAATAGCAGCATCAACATTCAATTTAATCCAATCTTTAGGGGAAGGACACCAATAAGCTTTAGACAGCAAGACTTGCTGATTAGTGTCCCAGAACTTCTGGGAAAGACTTTCTGTTCCTTGATACATAGATAGTATTGCTTTGCAAATTTCTTGGCAAGAGTTCCCTTTCCTATGTGACTGCATCTCATACCGTTTTTTTTTTAATAGAAACGTTAATTTTGCATAGGATACATTTTAGTTATCCCTATTGATTTTAAACTTTTACTGTAACATGACTGCTTTCTTTTACTTTTCAGCCGTGCATCAGATTTTGGTCTAATGAAGATAGACAACAAAGGAAGGGTCATTGCATTCAGTGAAAAACCTAAAGGAGAAGACTTAAAAGCAATGGTAAGAATCGTCCATCTTCCATTGAAAGTTCAACTAATTGATGCAGTTAAAGGCCATCTAAAGATTCCCATCTTAATTTAGCATCTCTTGTTGTATCATAGGAAGTGGATACTTCTGTCCTTGGTTTGTCACGAGAACAGGCAAAGAAGAATCCATATATTGCTTCAATGGGGGTTTATGTGTTCAAGAAGGAGATACTATTAAATCTTTTAAGGTACGGCCATTTAAGCCACCCATTTTCTGATACTGCTTAGATACAACAACAACAACAACAACATCAAGCCTTTATCCCACTACGTGGGGTCGGCTACATGAATCCTTTTTCTCCATTGTGTCCTATTAAAAGTCAAATTCTCGTTTAAATCTAATAAAGAAAGGTCATTCCTAATATTTTCTAACCAAGTCTTTTTAGGTCTACCCCTACCTTTCTTAACATAAGTCAAATCTAATACCTCTACTCTCCTAACCGGGTCATCGCAAGGCCGCCGTTTTATGTGACCAAACCATCTAAGGCGACTTTCTCTAATCTTATCTTCTACTGGACAAATTAAATGACATACATTGTACTATATGTTATGGCCACTTTTTATTTAAATGGAGGAAAAAAAGGTTTTTCTTCACTACAATCATTTAAATCCTTCTTTGTTCTTCTATAAGTTTCTACTATTTGCAATGGCTAGTGGAAAGAGCTCAATGGCTCTCATATGAAGTTCTTCCCCATGTCTCGTTGATCCTCGCTTCCCTGAAGTGGCTAATGAAGAAGCCTATCATCATTATAAGTCTATCGGGATCACCCCTTCCAAAATCATAAATCAGGAAGTCATGAACTTCTAGGTACCCAATCTCTTTTTGTCGCACTACCCTTCAATTCATTCTTACTCATGCCTTCCCATTGAACTCTGAACTCCTCTTAGAATTTTTTACTAGCCTTCATATAAACAGTGAGGGCACTGCCCTTTAATCTTATAACAATAGAAGGCCCATAGAGATCACCTATCAAGACTTTGACCAAATCCTAAAGTTTTCTACCACCGATGAAAAAGTTCATTCTTTAGCATTTCTCTATGACTATAACTGGATCCCTGTCAAAACCACCCTCAACAAATTATCAAATTCCTTATGTTAACGCACTAGTTCAAGATGCTCAAATTATTCAACATACCCTTCACAATCCAATCATTTCATAAGTTGGGGATCAAATAAAAATCACACCTCTTATATCCCTCTCTTCCTATTTTATAATAGCTAAAATTGATTTCAATGCAGCTTATATGATTCTTTGATACCTTAAAACCTTACCAGTATTAGAGATCTCAAAAAATAAGAGAGCCAAATCTAGCATTAGGTCACATCATTGCCTTTGTTCTAGAATCCAAATACAATCTCTAATTCCCTTAGGGGTGTCAATATTTGAACCGACCCAAAAACTCAAACCTGACCCATTTGTTGAATGTCATCTTCTAAGAAAAGTATTTTTTGATCTTCATCTTTAATACACTTCACTTGAACTAAATCCTTACTACTCCTATCTCTTTGTTTGGCTAACTTATACATATATCTTTCTCCCTCTTTAGTATCTAATCTATTATATAAATCACTAAAAGCTAATGCTTTTGCAACGCATATTGCTTTCTTAGCATCCTTACGAGCCATTTTATATATTTCCCAATTATCAGAATTTTTAAAATTAAACCAATTTAATTTTAAAAATTCTGATAATTGGGAAATATATAAAAAACTAGCAATAATCTTTATGCTGACTGGTTACTAAACTGAAGTTTAATGGTGCAAGCAGCTTTCCTAGATAATCATAAATGTCATACATGCAAAAATAGTGGACCAAGGAGTTGAAGATGTGGTTATGAATAAGAGTGGCCGTTGGTGTCTAGTGTTATCAATAAATAGCTAGAGATGACACAAGTAGAAATACACCCAGTCCATGGGGAAATTATTTTGTGCGGAGTCCATACGAGAAGAACCGTCCGGATTACTGCGTATTTACTAAATATTTGCTGAGTATTTATAAATACTCAGTAAATACATAGTAAATCGGCAAATACTCACAACATACTCGACAAATACTCACAAAATACTCAGTAATACTCACAACCGAGTATTTGCATATGCGCAGCGAATACTCAGTAAATACGCAGCAAATTCGGACTGTTCTCGCCGTCCAGACTCCGCACGTAATAATTTCTCCAGTCCATGAGGGTCCCATTAATATGTAGTATGTGGAGAAGTTGATATGCACTTTTCGTCTGCATTGTTAAATAGCTTTATTTCATGATTCAAGCCCATTACTGTGATTTGAACCCATATTCGTTAGATCATAATGGAGCCATGGAGGTAACTTAATTGTTGCTCATCTTGTGCTCGCCGTTAGAGTAGAAAAAAATGTGAAAAATAACTTGAGTTGATAGTAATATCTATCTGCATCCGGTTGATGCAAACTGTTTTTCTGACCACATGAAAATGCACTATAAACAAACTTTGCTATATTTGTTTTGCAGAAACCTGCCACGCGTTGGTGATGACCAGTAAAATATACCATTTAGCGACAATGTTTTAAAGGTGAAAAGCATCACAAGAGGCGTTTTATCTGTTACGAGACCCCTATATATAAGAAGAAAAAAACAATCTATATTCTAACTTAAAGTTTAACTAATATAAACATACAAAAAATAAATAAAAATAAGACGTTAAAATGAAACAAGTTGTGGACTCAGTTGGCGCAAGGCTTTGAGGAAGGAGAGCATTGTGTCAGTGAAGGAAACTAAGAACTACAAGGTAGCCTCTCATGAAGTGGAGATTCTAAGATTGGTTTGATATGAGGGAGGTGAAGGTGAGTTGGCTTAGTGTTTCAATGTTTCTTGGGCATGTATGAGAGGAATCAGTTTGATAAAACTTAACTCTTAGGGGCTGTTTGGTAGCACTCAGGATTTGATTTAAGTAGGATTTCGTAAATCCTCTAAATTCGGATTTCATAAATCCTGAGGGGCCTAAATCCTGAAATTATTTGGTAACATTCATGATAAATCCTATTAAATTCCATGCGACTGTTTGGCTATAGAGTGAATTTAACGGGCGGACTCTTTCTTTGGAGCCAATGAATTTCGTAATTCTGGCAAAAAATAGGATTTCGGATTCCATAGGGTGATGCCTCAACCTGCAGGGTATACACCCAATAGACAAAATGCTTGCTTCCACTGCCCCGAGGCAATTTTACTCGCCGCCCCAAAGCAAGCCCCTAGAACTTGTTTTAAGATGCTGTTCTATATCTGCCCCCTTTGTCCTTTGTTCACTGGCAAGTCAGAAGACTAGATATCGGTGATCGTTTGTCATCATTTCTCACAGGAGGAAGAAACTGGTGCAGCGGAGCTATTGACAGGGGAAGTGTTATTAAGTTCACTGGGGCTTTTTCTTTTCCTTGTGTAACCCAAATCTCTCTCACATACCCACACAGGCACAAGCACTCGCATAAGCTCGCACAGATTTAACTTGTATGACTAACGCAATTGTTTTTATCTGTGTTTACTTGGGCCTTGTAAAATAAAATTTATCAAGAAGCCTTTAACAGGAACATTAAGTGTTATGCATGATTGTTGGGTCAGATGGCGTTTTCCCACTGCAAATGACTTTGGCTCTGAAATAATTCCAGCATCAGCAAAAGAACAATTTGTCAAGGTATGTCGGATATTATTATATTATACACTTTTTGAATACTTTGCTTCATTTCTTTAATTACTTCAAACATCAATGCATCTCCAATGAATTTGCTAGTTTGAAAAAAGCATTCTTAAGTTTTTTTTAAATATAGAAATTTTGCATTTTTTTTTGGGTGTTTTGTATGTAGTTTGATACTAACAAGGTAAAAATTACTTGAGACCTAAAAATTGAAAATGGTAATATGGATATCAGTTTGAATACATAGAATCGTTCTTATTGGTATCTTCAGTTTTATCAAGCACAATTTAAGTAGCTGCGTCTGTCCAATCAACTTGGTTTAAAAATGAAGAACTCTTTGTATATGTACCAGTACAATCAATTACAGGCAAGGAGACAATTTAGGAGGCTGTGATGTCGGGATTCAAAGCAAAACTTCTGAAAGTCTGAAATTCTAGTCAGAAAGAGACAAATTGCCGTAGAAAAAAAAAATCCAACGCTTGCTTGGTTATATATGCTATATCATTTTCTTCAATGCCATCTTCAAGCATCCTGAAATTTCCTTTAAATTCAATGGCTAGAAACTTCTCCCCTTTACCAGCAGTGGTGACTGGCACAATCTGGTTAAGTGGTGATGGACCACGTTATGGGATATATCACTACCAATCTAACACCCACATTTACTTTTTAAGTATATTATCTAAAGTGAGAATGGATTATGCAAGGTAATCATCTGCTGGACACTTCCAAGACCAACTGGCAGTGGGAGATAGAATGGTAGTTCTCACTCTACATATACGTAGTGAGAGCCGGCTTTAATAAGTTCATACATCTTAAAGGTCATTATTTATCACTCCACACCTTGGCTTCAGAATACCTAAAACCTTACTGCCTTAATCATTTCACATCCAAGGAAATTAATTCCAACAAGATAAATTTCTTCCTTCCTTAGCCCAACATTTAAGGAAAGTAATGTGGAGACTAGCACCACCCTTCTGCCTAGAAATAAACTTGCAATTAGGTCAGCTATGTCAGAGAAGATTGGGCAACTGTTGTCATATATCTTGCAATCAAACAAGCCAATAGCATTGTCCCGGCTTCCACCTCCTTGTGCGCGTCATGAGCCCACAATAGCATCTTGCATGCGTGACCAGTGCGTGTCCTATGCGTGCACCCTTTGTGCATCCAACATGTTTTGCCAATCACCCACAACGCATCTATACATGCGACTTACACGTGTATCCATATTGCCTTTGTGCCTCTTAAGCACCTCTTCCTACTTTGTTCATGTTTGAACATTGATCTGGCACTGGCGCCCTAAAATGGGGTTCTAGTGTTATCAGCTATGCCATCTTCAGTCTTGAGTCTCGAGGCCTAGTGTGGTTGTTTCGATTTGGCTCATCTCTTATCAATTTCTACTCCACTTCTTGCTTCCAATGGCATGCCACCTTGATCGGGATATTTCCTTGGCATCCACTTTATCCATAGCACCAACTACTCAAGTTAGATTGCATTGTGATGTCCCTCCTACCATTCCTAGGTCTTCTCCCTATGTTGTATCTCCTTTGTAGTGTGCTCTTCAATTGTTGGCAAAGCAATAATAAGAACGATAACACAATAAATAAATCATCATCGGGAGAAGTCATTATTAAAAAAACATAAAAATATTGTTAGCAATAGATTTTTCTTGTTCACATTATTCCCTCAGATAATGTGAAAAGGTTTATTTTCAAAATTTCTAATAGATCTTCTAAATTAAGTTGATTTGAACTTAGATTAGTTAATGATGGATCAACATTATCGCCTATTCGATTGGCACGATGTTAGAATCGGACCTGATCGGTTCAACTAAACCGGCTTATTATAGTAGCTGAGTGAATACGGGAGGGAACCGCAAGCGGGTGGAGTCACGCGTGTGCGTATGCAAGCCTGGACGGCCGAATTTCATGAACAAATGAAGAAATACATACATGAGTGGAAAATAGCAATTGTGGAGAGTAACTACAATTTGCTCCCTCCTTTTTAACTCTTTTAAATGAGAGGAAGTTATACCAAGAGGACGAAGAAGGAGAAGGGAAGAAATAGAGAGAGAAAAAAACAAGGGAGGAAGAAGGAAGATGCATGCGTGCAAGTTAGGGTTCGGGATCGATCCACAAGCAAGGGAGATCGAGAGAAAGAGAGAAGGAAGCGAACTCGATGGGTAGGGAAAGCGAGAGTCTCGTGTAAGGGAAGAAGGTAAGAAATTTTTTTAAAAATTTTATTTTGAAAGGAAGATATTTATATTTTTATAATATTAAATTTAAAATATATTAAAATAAGAAATTTGTTTAGAAAATAATAATAATCAAATTTAAATTTAAATTTAAGATTTTAAAAGCAAATAATTAGAGAGACCGTATGGTTGAGAGATTATGATATTTAAATAAAATATGGATTTTAATTGAAAATGCTAATTAGGAAAATTAATTATACAAATAAAGAATTGAATGATTAGTGATAAATTATATATTAATGATATAGAAAATATTAATTAAATAAAAATATAGAGCAGGAGAGAGAGAAAGTATGTGTGTAAATTTTAATGTATGAGATTTTAATTGTTATAAACATTTTAATAATCAATTAAATGTGAGAGCAATTAGAAGCTTTAATTAGCTGCTTTGAGAAAGAGAAAGAGAGAGCGAATAATATATATTTAAAAATTTAATAATAAAAGAACATTAATTAGTGAAATACTCTATAATTATTTTTAAGAATTAAAATGTTTTTTAAAAGAGAAGTTTTAAAATATTAAGTTAGAGAACTTAAGAGCAAATAATTAATTAAATTTAATAATGTGATCTTTTATAGGTTTTAAATCCACCGTCATTAGAATAAGGAGTAAAAGTGAAGTTGCGTATTTTTTAAATTCAAGGTGAGTACTCATGTCTTTTAATTACAATAATTATATTTGCTTCTACATATTATGCATCAAATACATACTGTTATTATTTAATTGTTTATTAATAATGCTCTATGAATTAATGCTATGTGAATTTTCTTTATCAAAGATAATTAATTATGTTGAACTGGAATACTTTAATTTAATATTATAATGATAACATCCATCCTATAACATGATGTTTATTATATATATCGATATGAAATGATTTGAAGAAGGTAAATGATATGATTAAAATAGAATGTTTGTATGTGCATGTTGACTGATGGAGCACATTCTCTTATGGTACTGGCTGGGGACGTAATGTCCCGTGAATGGTACGTTAATGAAAAAGGTTATAGAAAAGGAAAAGGAAAAAAAATGTCAAGTCCTGATCCTCTACTTAAAATTCTCTCATTTCACCACACATTTTTAATAAGAACCTGTCTTCTCATCACAAACTGCCACTCCCCTTTCAAGAAAAATTAGCTTTGATTTTGTTTGTGAAGGAGATCTTTGAGTTGGCTTCACCTTTTTCCCTCTCTTTTTGTTAGGGTTTCAAAAGTCCTGATCCTCTACTTAAATTCTCTTATTTCACCACACATTCTCAATAAGAACCTGTAACTTCTCATCACAAACTGTCACTCCTTTCAAGAAAAATTAGCTCTCATTTCATGAGGATTTTATGGTCTAGTTCTAGATTTTCTATGGGTGCATACCCCTTATAGTTAAGTAATCCCAATAATGAGTTAGAATTTTTTAGTAAGGCTAGTCATTAGTAGACATTAAGTACTGTGCATATATTAGAAACAAATTTGATATTAGGATTTGAAATTTAGTACCTCCTCCCTTTGGCCACTTAGGGTCTTACATAAAACTACTACTTGTGAATTCCATAGCAGTTATTGAAATGAAATTTCTACGCTTCTTTCCTGTACTTATGGAGTTCAAGTTTAAAAAAATGAATGAACTTGGATTAACATAGAACCTAGATGTTGTTTCTTTCAATTTTTTTTTAGATTTCATTATTGTCTATCGAATGTTGCATTTTGTTATATTATAGCTGTTAAATCTTTTTGTGCCTGATTAACTGTTCAGATAGCTTGGTTTCTGAATGTATTCAATTTGAGCAACATGAAGATGTCAGTAAGATAAAATTGAAATGTCATTCAGATTTTTATTTTTCAAGATGTTAACAAATTATGTTTTTGATATCTACTAAGAAAAATAATACATAGCAGATGTCTCTAAACCAAAAGGCCCATTAAAATGCTGCTTGCAGGATTTTTATATCTTTTCTGAACATTTACTGAACTATTATAAACTACAGATAACGTTCTTGTTTTATTGCAGGCATACCTTTTTAATGATTATTGGGAGGATATTGGGACTCTAAAATCTTTTTTTGAGGCAAATCTTTCTCTTACCAGGGATGTGAGTACTCTAAATGAATCCTAGATTCTAGTCTCGTTTGCTTTTGAAAAAAACATTCTTGGATGAATTTCCTGTTTCCTCTGCTATTTTCCGAATTCCAAAACCCATTGAGTACTCTTTTATTCTTTCATGAAATTATTCTTTCCAACTTAGGTAGCTTCAGTGACATTATATCGACGTTTTCTACTTGATTATGAATCTGACTGCAACACCATTGATTACCTTCGTCAGTGCACAATTCATGTTAACATGTTAACCTATAGCTGGAGCTTTTTATTTCCACACATGCTTATTTTTATCTAGGTGTATCAGCGCCTTATTTTTCAGTAAGAGGAATATAGTCTAAGCTAACTGGATAACGTTCTGTTTGAATTTTGAAAATGGCAAATATTGTCACTATTATTTGGATGTCATTCAAATGTGGAACCAGTTTATGACAGTTTTAATGATTTTTCCGTCGCATTACAATCGAGACAAATACCCATGGTGTATTTTATAATGTGCTTAGCTTTACTTTAGATTGAAAAGATTAAAGTTTAGTTTGGGACGGTTTTCTTACTGCTTCTTAAAGCAGCTTTTTAGTGCAAAAATTAAAAATTTTATACGGAAAAATTGCTTTAAGAAGCAGTAAGAAAGCCGTCCCAAACGAAGCCTAAATTTTTACTTCGAACATTAATTTAATATAGATCACTGATTTACTGGAGAGGCAGAGAGGCCCTTGGAGGAAATGGTGGAAGGTGGTTAATATTGAGTTAGTAACATGAGCTCTAAAGATTTATCTCATTTTAGCTTAACGAGCACTTTTTTAAGGATAATTATAGCGTGACTCTACATTAATCTAATACTTGGGAGTTACTGCGTTATAAGCCTTGGGGCTGGTTCAGTAATTCTTGAGTACTTTTGGCCTAAGCACTATGGAGTTTTAAACGACAATTTGTGCTGTTATAATCAGATTCTTTAGTTTACTTCACGAAACTTTCATCAACACTACCTGTTATTCATATCTTTTGTAACTATTGTAGCTTTTTTAAAGGTGATATATTCTCATCATTCAAAAAATAACGCAGTGTATCTCTTCTTTGACTTTCTTAAACTTGCAGCCACCTAATTTCAGCTTTTATGATGCGACAAAACCAATATATACATCTCGAAGAAATTTACCTCCAACAGCAGTTGACAACAGCAAGGTAAGTTTTTCATTCCTCTGTTTTACGACAAAAATACACATATGATGTGCTTTTCTCTTAAGTCATCATCCTTTGTAACTTTTGAGGCAGGAAAAATACTTGTTTAATTTTTGCTGAACTGATCATAAATTTCATTTGAGGCACTAAAAAACATCTGCTTTACTTCGAATCAAATATCTTTTTTAGTTTCATTTTATCTAGTTTGCACATATTTTTCATCAAACTAAATTACTCCATGAAGAATAATTGATTTCCATTGTTACTGTCTCTACTTTCTTACTGACTATCCCATTGTCTTACTTTCCTCTCTGATAGTTTAAACATTCATTACATATATTTCTCCCCTTACCTATGAACAAAATACATGCTTTTCAGATTGTTGATTCTATTGTATCCCATGGAAGTTTCTTGAGCGACTGCTTGATAGAACACAGCATTATCGGTATCCGATCCAGGATAAACAGTAATGTGCACTTAAAGGTCAGAATTCTAATGAGAAAAAAAAATTGCTCAGATAACCTCATTAATTTTTGGTGAAGATGATAGTCAAAGTCATTAAATTTATTTTGAGATGAGTACAGATAAATTCTAATTGATTCTCCCTCATCACAAAGTAAATCCAGTGGCTTTAACATTTAGTGAAAATATCCTAAACTCAAAAAACTCAATATGTTCATAGAAGAGAGCCTCTACTTACAACCATTTTTGCACCATTTTTGCAGGATACTGTAATGCTAGGTGCGGACTTCTATGAAACAGAAGCAGAAGTCGCAGCATTGCTCGCTGAAGGGAGAGTTCCTGTTGGAATAGGAGAGAACACCAAGATCAGGTGATCACCATTAAGCTGTTGAACATACTCCATATTTATTCTGCAAGTACAACTTCAAAATCTTAATTGTTTGTGCTGATAATTTTCAGAAATTGTATCATAGATAAGAATGCAAGAATTGGGAAGAATGTGACAATTTCAAACTCCCAAGTACGGTTTCTCTTCAGCACTATATCTGGGTCGAGTTTCCTATTTAAACTTTTTACAATGATGATTTCAAGTTCATTGAATTTGCTTTGAAATGAATATAATATAAATTCTGATTGATTATCTATATCTTGTGCTCATTTCAAAACAAGTTTAATGGTTTTGAGCAGGGCTATCAAAATCGGGTCACGGGTCGGGTTCAGGTCCAATCCGAAACTGATCCGGCATTGTTTGACCTGACCCGAACCTAACCCATTTTTGCAAACGGGTTGGTTTTTCGGACCTGAACCTGACCCGCTTCGGGACTGGGTTAACCCGAACCCGACCCGCTTTGTATATGTTTTACTAAAAAAAATTTATTTAATTCTAAATCAAATTAAGGTAAGATTTACTTCAATTAATTTAAAATAAACCAAGCTTAATTCAGTTTAGGCAAAATAGTTTTATTATTTTTTGGAAATAGTATTTATTTATTTCATAATAATATTTTAAAATCCTCATAAATCAATTAAAAGTGGGTCAAATCGGGTTGATTTTGAGTTTTCGGGTCAACCCGAACCCGACCTAGTTTTACAAACTGGTCGAAACCCCTAACCTGAGCTCGACCCGGTTCAGGTTTGGGTTGACCTAACCCGATTCGGCGGGTTCAGGTTTGGGTTGACATGAACTCAAAATTTTTGGGTCGGATTTTCGGGTCGGGTTAAATATTGACAACCCTAATTTTGAGATCCATCTTGATATCAATTTTTTTTATATATAATTTTAATTTTTTGCATATAAAGTTTTTTCTTTTTCTTTTTTTTTTTGAATGGATGATCATGGCATACTTGTGCAGGGTGTGCAAGGAATACAGAGATTTCATACCGCAGGGAATCCTCGAACCGCGAACCAACAAATAGAGTATTTACCTCATTACTTTGAGATATAAAGAACTCATCACACAAATCATTCACTACAATATCATTATTATCTCTGATCTCTGAGCTAAACTGATGCATTTCAGTGTGAATGTCCTGTAATTGGGACATATCATCTTCGTTATATTTCATTGCAACTACCACATCAATTTTGTTCCTTTCATAAGAACTTTCAAGCATTTCAACTACATCTGAATTGCTTGAAATCAACAAGTAATTCTTCGGTGATGTTCCATTGACATGATAGTGTAAGTCGAATGGTTGACCCCTTAGCCAATGACAAAGTGTTTCAACATGTTCTTTTAGCAACAACATAGTGATTTCATCTCTCCGAAACTTTAAACTTTTTTGGCTTCCACCCACATACTTCATTCGAGCCTGACCCTGCACCTCACTCCAATATCCACCGAATTTGAGAATAATGGAGCAAATATGACTTGAATCCATTTCTGTGAATGGATAAAATTAATAAGTTAGACAAAGTGAAAAAAGGGAAACATAATGAGTTAGCCAAACTAATCAAAATTTTCAATTTCCTGTTAAAATTTCAGTTTTCTGTTCAAATTTTCAATTAAAAATTTTCAGTTTTTATTTTTCAGTTTACTGTAAAATTTCAATAAAAATTTTTCATTTAGCCAAACTAATAAAAAATTTCACTTTCCTGAACTAAAAAAATTTCAATTGTCACTTTTATGTAAAGACGCTCTGACAATATGTTCCGAAGATATTTGTAAAATTTCAATTGTCATTGTTATGTAAAGACGTTTTTTTCTTTTTCTTACAATAAATTTCATAAGAAGAAAAGGCGCTCTGACGTCGGAACAGATACCTTCGATCTCCACCGAAGAATAGGCGACGGTCGCTCATCGGAGAAGAAGCGACGCTCGGTCTTCGGAGAAGAAGCGACGGTCGGTACCTTCTCTATCGAAGAATACGCGACAGTCGCTCGTCGGAGAACAAGAAAGAGCGGGAAGAAGAAGGCTCAGGAACAGGAACGTGCGGGAATAGCTACGAACGGGATCGCCTCGGACAGGGTTTTAACTCTCCGTTAACAGAGTGGTATTTCAAAGTATAGAAATGTTATTTGAGTGGTATATTAGTAAATATAACACTTTGAGTGTTAAATATGTATTTTGAAATGTTTTAAGTGTTATGTATGTAAAAACCCCAAAAATTTAAATTTATATAATAAGCTGCTTTAAGAAGCAATAAAAAAGCTGTACCAAACAAAGCCGTTTGGGACTGCTTTCTTACTGCTTAGATATAGTGTTCATGTTCACATACCTGCTGCATAGGCGCAGTAATTCACCATTAAATAATTTATTAAAAAAACATTTCATGATCAGCAAAGAAATATTCAACAATGGCAAAATACCATCACCTATAAACAAAATAATAATCACCAGCTTCCAAATATATCAAAAACAGAAAGAATCACTCAGCAACTTCTGCTACTTCTTCATCTTCTAAGCTAACATATTAAGAATCATACATATCAGAAGAAAAGTGAAGGAAAAAGCTCTCAATCTTCTTTAGAATTCTAATTAAATAGTTCATACTTACTGAACCATAAAATACAAGGCTCATATTGTATTTAATAAATCACATATAATGCCTGAACCTTAAATATATGTTCCCCACTTCTAGTTAGATGTTGTAACATTTGATCAGTAGAGGCAAATAAAGGGACATTGTAGACCAAAATGTGTAGATCCATGGAAGATAATGGACAAAGTTCCTACAATTTGTCTTGTCTGATCAAGAAACAAATCCAACTTGATCTGACAATAAAGATAAGGTGATGATCTATCTACACATTCTTACAATCTTATATCGGTTTTTCGGCTTTTCGGATTTATCTCAGTAGGCCTACAATCTCCATTTCATGCCTTACCTCAGGCCTGAAATTCAAACCGGGATCTGTGGAGAATCCCCATGATGGGGACTCAAAATTTCAGTATTTTATACCCCCTCAGCCCTCAATTTCTATACTTCCTAAGAAAAAAATGGGTACATAGAAAAGGCTGGGATATGAAGAACTTGATTTGGGTGATAATCACCTAAATGTTGTCATCTTCATCCTTGATCATTGCGTTGGGACCGTCCTCGAAGCTTGTTCCGGGTGCGAGCTCATTGAGGTCTAGGAATCGCCGCCTTGGCACGCCGTCTTCCTGTATTGGGCTTTCAGCTTTTTCTGGAGGTTGGGATTGGGGCGCTTCACTGGTAGTCTCCTCGAGTTGTTTGTGATCGATCTTCTCATCGTTCATTTCTTCATCTTCTGCTTCCTCGTCTTGAGAGCCATGGCTAGCTGACGAGAGCTCTAGATCATCATTCATTGCATCTGAGGCAGCATCAGACACGTTTGAATTATCAGCCTTTTCTGACTCTGCGTCGGTATCTGAAAGTTCGTATTGCTGGTAATTTATACGCGGCTTTGTCGACCTCTTGCTTCGTCTGAGTCCATTCTGGAGTTCATCTACTGATCTCAATTTTGCTCCACGCCTGCCACGACTTCGAAGCTTCTTGTGCTGGCGACGCTCAACTGAATCTTCACTAATGCTCAATGAATCTTCATCTTCATCTTCTTCATATTCTTCCTCATCTTCTGCATTATCCTCCCAACGGTACTCCTCGTCCCCTTCAGAGCTACTAGAGACCTTCTGCTTTCTACTTCTTAGATATTCATCGTCGTATACTGCCTCTCCAACGATATCGTCGTCACTATCAAAATAAGCCTCATTATCTGAAATGGCTTCAACAAATTCCTTTTCAGAATATCTTTGAGGCCTTTTCCTTCTTCGGTTGCTATACTTAAGAGAAAAGAATAAATAAATGTCTAGAGATAATAATAATAATAATAATAATAATAAATCAGATCCAATATGTAGCCCCAATACCTTCGATCAAGTGGGCTAGTGCGAAATTCATCATCAGTTTCTTCATATTCAATGGGATTTGGTGATTGCACATCATATGCAAGCTGAGGAGTGAGGGGTTCACCATTTAATCCACCATTGGAAACAGGTTTGGCAATAGGTTCTCTTTTGATAACTTGCTCCGGAGAATTTTGCCTTTTCCTAGAAAAATCAGATTTATAATAAAGAAATTAATGGCCATAAAAACTTGAATAAATAAAGCAATTACTGCAGAATGAGATCAAATACATACTTGGTGATCTTGATAGCCTCATTTATGGATCTATCATAGTCATCTGCAAAGGAATTTGATTGGCATGATCAGATGAGATAAGCAAAGCCAACTGGCTAACATTAACACCCAAAGATACAAATGCCTTCAAATATGCTTGCATAATTGTGTAGGAAAAAAACACAATAGATCCAGAAGTTTCTTCAGTAAATAAATAAAAATGAACAGAAAGAAACAAGACTGTACAAGTTGATCTGGTAGATTAGCACAAATTGAAAGCAAAACAGTACAGGAATCACAGTTCAAGAGACTCAAATTCATATTTTTAAAACCAGGCCCAGGCCAACAGTCATGAAGAGAAGTGGAACTGGTGCAAGGGTATACTAAAAAAATTGTAAGCGAGTAATTGCCTTCAAAATCTCTTTAGAACAAACAAGTAGTTTTAAGACATAAATAACAAGGTTGTAAGAAAGACACTGAAGTGAGCTAAAATTATTCTCAAGAGTACCTACAAGGCAAGCTCAAAAGCAATTGTCAATGAGGAGAAGAATAAAAGCAGTCTAAGCAACAAAAATCGTAAGCTTTCTCATAAAGGTAAGTTCAATAGAGAGAAATTTGGAAGAGAACAAAAAAAAAAAAAAGCTACCACTCCCATTGCAAGTTAAAGTCACTCAAACCAAAAATTGTAAACTAAGAAGAGGCTGAAACAAGAGGAAGCCAAGAAGCTCACAATCACACTTACAGAGGGAGAAATTCTAGTTATGAAGAAGGTTGGAGTATTGTAATTGAAGGTATATTGCAATTACCATTAAAAGATACAATATTCAACCTCATTTTGATGGTGGCGGCATCTGTGGTGTAGCTCGAAGGCCTTGATTGTGAACCATAAAATAAGAAATCAATTTGCACGTGCATTTTCTCTTAAACATTTTGTAATGGGATCATTTAATTAATGAATTAAATAATTAATCATTGGATCGTTATAAAAAAAATTTTGATGCAAAATTTTTTAATGAATGATGTGGGCTCCAAAAATTCGGCCATTTCGACATGCGACGTGCGAGTCGTGTCGAGGGTCGTGGCTGCGACGTGCGATGGCAGAGAGGTATGGAAATTTTTTTTTTCTTTTCTTTTTTTTTTTTGTTACATAGCAGGTCAACAAATGATTACATATTTTGATTAGAGTAGCTTAGGGGTTGTTTATTTGCTAGTATTTACAATTCAAACGAATTTTAAATACAATGCATTTGGAATACTGATGATTGTTTGGTTGATTCTAAAATAAACTCATGATTGTTTTAATTTGGTTGGAAGAAATTAAATCTAAATTTTATGGTAATTTAAAAATGAACCTAGTGCATGGTAGCGAGGTAGGACGGTGGAAGTTACGAGCGCAAATGATGAGGTGACAGTGACAATCGGAGGTCACGAGAAGAACTAAGGTCTTGTAATATCCGTAGGGTTGACGATGTCGTTGGGAGAGTCTAAGGTCATGTGTTGTTGACATTGTCATAGAGGAAGATAGAGGCCTAAGGTTGGTGGGTCATATGGAGGATTTCACAGGTGTGGCAAGGATGGGAAAAGCCAAAGTTTGCAAAGGCGATGAATTTGGAATTCACCCAAATATTGTTTGAGGTAATATCAATGGTTTAAAAATCGTATCAAACTCTGTTCAATCGTGAACCAGTCATACTATCAATTTGGTCATCTTGAAAAATTGGTTATGCATCCAACGGAAGAGAATTGATGAGAACCAGTGACTCAACTAATGAAACATTGAATCACTCCCAATTTTATGGAATCATCTTATTCAAAATTGGCATATTAATCACTATAAATCTGTGATCTAAGGGCTAGAATTCTATGATAAATAAATTTATGAATTTATTTACTTAAAATATCCTAAGATACCAAACCAACAAACCCTATCCCTCAAAATTCCCAAATTCCCCATATAGCTTTCATAAGCACCTTCGGCCCTTCTTCACATGAGGCTTCCTTCTTCACCAATTGTTCTCTGGTTTCGTCTCCACCCTTCGTTGGCCGCTCACCAAGGTTCTCAAGTGGAACCGCCTCCTTCATTGCTTATGATGTAATATTTAGTAGAAACCCTAAATTTTATTACTCACTGATATTGTTTGGTTTATTGAGGGCATCAATAGTTATTATGTCATTTGTAAATAATTTTAATATTTATTATACCATCCAATTCTACATTTGAACCTTAAACCTCCTTTTCATCTGATTTAATATCTAATTCACTTTTTAATCTTGGGTATTATAAACTGATTGGAAAAATATTATGAATTTGCTTTACTCTCAACCAAATGCTTAAGTAAAAACCCCAGAATTTCAAATACAATACAACCCTAATACTTGCCACAAAACAACCGCTTAGTTCATATTTGACCTTTTCATTTAGCAGCCTAAATTAGTAAAGTTTTAAAGATCTCAATATAAGGTTTAATAAGGTTGGTTAACAGTAAAATTGTGAAATTGAACTTCAACCCATACCGTGTATTTTAGAATGCCATTCTCGACATCTTTCAAATTAATTTTCAATAGTTGCTGAGAAAAGTAATTTTTGGTTTATAAGACTTCTAGAGTGGAGCTCAAAGATTATATTTATTTAATTATATTCAAGTATGAATAGATGTTTAATTTAAACCTTTGATTTAGGGGTTGTTTAGTTGGCTGAAAAAAGAATGCGGTGTAAAAGGAATACTTTGGAGTTTTTGGATGAATGTAAAGTAAATGCAGATGAATATTTTTTTTTTGTTAGAAGTAATGAATGTAAAGTAAAGTTGTGGGCTCCGAAAATTCGGCCACGGACTCCACTTGCTTTTCTTATTTGGCGAGGGAGTTTTAACCGAGGTAAATTTTGGAAGGCAGATGGGTTTGTAGATAAGACACTACCCAGAGATTTCGCCCTCATTTGCGAGGACTTTATGATCTGAGTTCTGGTTTCCTATAGACGCAAGCCCCAATAGTTAATTACCCCTCCCGATCACGAGAGAGAACTTTCGATTAAGGCTAGTCGTCAATCAGATACGTATAAAATACGTGTTATTTGGCTATAGTAGCAGCAATAGGTTTGGGATATTGAGGATTGGGAGTTTGGAATTTGAAGGATTCGATATTTAGAAA